AAGAGTTAACTAAGCCATAAAGATGACACTGAGGCCAGTTCACCCTGTGAGATAGACTTTATGGAGCACATTTTAAATTTAAAGAAATAGGGTTTCATGTAATTTTATAAGCATATGAATTTGTATATATGAAACCCATATAGAATATTAATTCTGACAGGAGGAATGGATACATTTCTGTAAAATAAATAAAGAATATTCTACAAAGGAATTAAATATTATCTTCGGTGATTGGCTTCTCATTCTAAAGCCTGTGCACATTGAAGCAAAAATGAAACCTTTCCATTGAAAACAACTGAATGTCCAAGCATGACATGTTTAATCACTGCTAATTTTAAGACTGAAGGGCTAGATAGGCTAAGGGATTTAGATATGTAGAAAATAGAAACTTTAACACCTGACTTGAGGATGGTGAGCTTTAAGTGTGGAATCCAGACCCTAAGTTAAGTACCTGGTCTCCATATAAAACCATATAAAATAAGGTTCCTGAGAAAGCTGACCTTAACAGTGTGTGCAACTGCAGTTAGCTAGTGCTCAGGACAAAGTTCTGCCAAGAAATTTGCTCATCACTAGGGATTACACCCATTTTTCTGAAAGCCTTTTTTCAAAAGTTATAAACTTCTGAATAGAATCACAGAACCACAGAACAGTTGAGTTTGGAAGTGACCTCAGGAGGTTATCTGGTCCAGCCCCCCTGCTCAAGCATGGTAACCTAGTGTCCAGATGGCTTTTGTATATCTCCAAGCCTGGACACTCCACAGCTTCTCCGGGCAATCTGTTCTATCGCTCAGTTACCCTCACAGTAAAAGATTATTTTCTTACATTCAGATGGAGCCTCTGCTGTTTCAATTTGTCTTTACTGCTCATGAATAGTTGGGATAGATCACATTGCTCTTTTGTACAGGGCTTTACAGATTAAAAGACCCTCAATTTCTTATCTTTCCAACTGAAAGGATTCCATTTTAAAAATCTTATCTTAAATTTGAAGTTCAGTGGTGGTGTTTTGTCCTCTACTGTAACATCATGAAGAATATTTTTATTGCAAAAATCTTCCTAATGTAACTTACCATATGAGGGTATTGGGACCATGCCTGTTTGAGTATTTAGATTGTGGCACAAAGAGGAGATATTGAGACACATCTTTTTAGTCAGATTTTTCTACAATAGGTGTAGAATCATGCTGTTCCTCGGTTCCTATTCAAACTTAGGAATCTTTCATTATTTCCTGCAGATTAGCAGTTCTTCAGTAGAGGGGGGAGATCCTTAGGAGATGTTTCCAAAGAAGTTGAAAGAAATGCTCTTTCTACAGATGCAGATCTTTTAGGGCCCTCTTTCTAAAGGTATGATCATTTGGGAGAGGCTAGAAACAATGATTTCCAAGTTCATGATCTAAACTGCATTCAAGAAATTTTGTGCAGGGCACTGTATAACTTTCTTCCCTAAGCCTCAAGTAATAGTTCATAAGACATCTCTTATCCATTGCTATTTCTTGCATGGTACTAGCTTTTCTTGGAGTCAACAAAACCACAGAGGATTTTATCAGAGTAATACCAGGCTTGTCAGCATTCCTGAATGCCAGACTAACTGAGTTGCTTTTAGTCCATTTCAACCTAGGCAGAGCAAGCTCCTCTCTGCCAAGCAATGAGAAGAGTGATTCACTCCTTCCCACAGTCATCACATGTTGCTCTAGGGAAAAATTGCCTACGTCTACCTTTACCTCCTTGTATTATAGAAACACCAGTGGAACTCTGCTGTAGATGGTCAGTCCCAAGCCCTGGAGTAACCCACCTGTGTTATGGTACTGTTTTGAATGCTTGTCTTGGAAAGGTTAGGGCAGAGGTATAATAGATGCCCAAGCACGATGTAGCCCAAAGTGCTGACCCAGCACACTACAGAAAGCAATCAACTGTACCGCTAGAGACAATGAGGGCACAGTAGGATGTATATACCTCTCTTCTTTAGAAATCAAGCATCCAGCTACCTATTTGGAGTCATTAAACAATAGAATACTTAGCTTAGTGTGGAAAAAGATGAATATTTGTCTTAGTTTTCATTAAATATCCAATATCCTGCAATGGATCTTCTTTGTAAACTGAGTTCGGGCAAACTTCTTTTTGTTCATTGTTCAAATATTCACTGATTTTAGAATATAGCTATTCAGGCTTTACTCTTTATCCTCCAGTTTAAGTAAAGGTAATCATATAATGGCACAGACATGAATCCTTTGCCTAATGTTCATGTCTGTCAGTCAGTTTAATGTTCTGTCTACACATAAAGGTGTCTGTATCCTAGTATAAATAAGGCTCTGTACAAAAATGCTTTGAATTTATGTGTGTTGGCTTCATTTTCAACATATTGCTCCGTGTTAGTCTTTCTATCTTTAAAGCAGATTTTTGCTTTTCTGTCTACTGTTCTGAGCTCACTGTCTGGTATTTAAATATCGCCTAAATAAATGAATTCACATTCCGTTGTGCTAATGTACACTGTATTCATACAAAGTTTAAAAGTAGGAGAAATGAAGTGTTGTATCAATTACACAGAAGTTGCTGTTAATACTGTCTGGTAACTAGTTTTCAGTGTTTGGTAAAATTATATTATGTGCTTTATCATCAACATAACATACGTCACTGTATTTTTAAAAAAGAAAATTCTCCATGTGAATACTGAACTTCTTGTAATGTAAAAACATAATAAACGGTCACAACAGTGATGTGATCATCCTGCATACTCATGGAGAACTATAATAATTAACTTAAGCTCTGGTAGCAGAAATGAGCTAGCTATAACAAAACAGGGCTCCCAAACAGTCTTGTCAATGTGAGGGAACAGGGAAGAGAAGCCTACACTGTGACTGCCATCTTGCCAAAAGGAGCAGTGTAGATTTTTTTCTGTTGATATATTGCCCCATGAAATCCTCCCAGAGATAATCATCTTAATTATACTGATCTTTTGGGAATGCTGATAAAGCTAGATGATAATGAGCTGTGAGCTGAGCAGGGGCAGCTGTAAGCCTTGTGTGGATTTTTTCCGAATTCTTACAGATACGGAGAGAACAAAATACAGGTGACATGATGCTCTTACTCTAGTAATACTCTCTTTGAGTCTCTTCTCACTTCATTATTGGTACATTCTTCAGCATACACATGCTTTGTTTTTTCACAAACACTGCAAGAAGACTCCACAGAATTCTTCTCTAAGTCATATTTTGTGTGAAATGTTAAGAAAAACCCTTAGAAGGATAAAGAATAGGGTTTTAGCTAAGAGTGTAAAGCTGGTTTGGTTCTGAAGATTAGTGAAGTCCACAAGGCCTTTTTTTTGATAGTGTGTTTGATAAATTGGTGGCAATTTATATTCCACCGTCAGGAATGCCTGACTAAACACGAATGTAGTGTTCTCTTTTCAGGTTTATTTTTGGTTTTATTTTTGTTCTAAATGTGGGAATTTAATGCAAAATAAGGCATGGTGTCAAATCCCCCAGATTCTTTAAATGGTGGCCAGAAGAACCACTCTCACAGATGTGTTCCATTTGCTTTAGAGTTTAAGTTTGCTGTAGTCTGATAGAACTTTGGCCACATTCTGCAAAACTTTGCAGCTGGCTACTTAGATTAGGTTTAGCAGCAAATGATATGAGGTAGCCTGGTAGTATTTGTTCATAAATTAGTGCCAGTGAAACAACATAGGTAGACAATTGCACAGGTACACACAAACTCACATTGTAATTAAACAGATTTCACAGACACCAATGTAACTCTCTTAACCACCATGTTTTTCCTCCTTATTTATGCCTTTACTGATTATCATGTTTGTTTCAGCTGAGTAAAGGCTGAAACATTGAGATTTAATTAGCTTAAGTATGTCAAACTGGACTACTTTAATATTGATTATTAAAATAGACAACTATTCCATCCTTTTTCATCCCATTCCTTCCTCTCTGAAAATGTAATTCTTGGTTGGTCTTGCAGTCATACATACACACATGGTATTTGTGTGAGGCTGCTTGTAAATCCAAGTTTGGCTGACATACTAATGCACAGACTATAATTTCTAATATTTATGTTAATTACGATTAATGTGACGTCAAATATATAACTGAATGCAAGAGAGCAACTATCTTGAATAGTTGAAATAAAGTGTAAATTCGGTGAAGTAATGGTGTTACTCCTGAGTCTGACTGTTGTAAGAAAAATTTTATGATACACACCTTTCTTGAATATATAATCTGACTTTCTGAACAGAATTAGCTTGCCTGTACTTCTACATTTTCCCTCTATGTTATCTGCACTGGAACAAATGAAATTTAATTTTTCTTTTATCTTCAGTGACTGTAGAGGCAAAAAATTCCTTGATCATCACTGATCCTAGTGCTGTACTTTATGAAATTTATGTATAATTCCAGAAAGTGTATTATAAATTGACTTTAGGGAATCTATTACACTTGCAAGCATGGCAGGTTTCCAAATTTAAGTTATGGTTTGCAGAAATATGGGATATTCACTGTTGTCCTTTTTCTACTATCAGGAACATGTCTCTGTGTGAGTCTAAATTTATAATTTAGTCCATACAGAAAGTAATGTCAACACTGACTAATCCTGTAAAATATAAAACTCAAGCTACTTTTATTCTGAAGCATCTCAATCTAGGGCAATGTGATGTACATGAACTTAGATCAAGAATAGATCAGTGGTCTCTGCTTACTTCTAAATATGAATTCTAGACAGCAGAATATGACAGATAACAACTGCTTTCCCATCCTGCCTTTTTCCTCCTCTTTAGATCATGTTGTGTGTATATGTATGTATGTGAATGTGTGTATTTATATAAGTTTATATGCCACTGTTCTCAAATGTATTATTTCTGGCAGTACCATGAAAGGGTGAATGGACAGAAAAAGTGCTCAAGAGCCTCTAATAGATTTCAATCCAGTCTGCCTGCTGCTCTGTTTTGCACCAAGTCAAGTATTTTTTTAAGCTGATAATTGAAAACCTATCTTGTTCTTACAGAATGGCTTTGCTGTTGTAAGGCCCCCAGGCCATCATGCTGAAGAATCAACAGCCATGTAAGTACTAGGGAATATTGCCCATCTTGGAGCACTAAGGTTACTGGCAATCACCTGCGTTGTGCATGTCTCTGAAGAAATGTAATTGCTAGCAGATGACTGAAAAGGCTTTCTAGGTACTCCCAGAAGCAGATTTATGGCCTCAGAGATCATATAGCATTTTTTAAAATGCTCTGAACATTATTTATAGCTGTTTTCCCAACTGATTTGCTTTCTTATTTCTGTTCTTCTCTATTCCACAGGGGGTTCTGCTTTTTTAATTCGATTGCAATTACTGCCAAATACTTGAGAGACAAGCTAAATATAGGCAAGATATTGATTGTAGATCTGGTATGTATTCTTGGCAAGCATTGCACTTTGAGTGCATCTAGGTAAAAGATAATGAATTTGTATTTATATGTCAGACTTTCCTGCTTTTAATACCTACGAGTAATAAAGGTGTGCATTTCCTCTGATTTTGGGAACTCATTAAAGCCAGGATGGCAGTACTGAAGCCATAAACATCTATGTTTCACTTTAATGGTGTTAACTGCAATTTAATGAGAAGAAGGCACAGATCAGGGCAACTTTTATGGTCCTTAAATGAATTGATACTTCCACCGTTAAAATAACCCTACAGAACCCAAATTTACTTTCCCCTACCGAATACAAACTTTAAATAGTCAGATGTGCTTTAAAGAATGTCGTTGCTTTGGTAACCAAATTGGCCACTTCCCCAGCTAGCAATGATTCGACTTGTTGTGTAACTTCGATATTATTAAACAAATCAACAGGTCATTCCCTCTAAGAAATTTTCAAGTCATGTATGCCAGCTTTTGATGGTTCCCTGAAGGAAAGCTACGTGATTAAAAATCCACTTCATTGGATTAGTCTTGTATTTTAATAGAAGGCATTCTTCCACAATACTTAATACGTTTAACAAATAGATTATTTAAATGCAGATGACATTTGGCATGTTGTCTATATTATTTTCATGAAAAATGAATTGGAGCTCTGCCTTGCACTTAAAGGATCAGCCCAATGCACAACCTAAGGAAAGCTGAATGCTGATTTATGAGCACCATTTTTGTTTTCCTACAGTTCATGAGGAGGTGTAATAGGGTGTCTGACAAAGCATAGACAGGAAATGAACCCTGGCATCAAAACCTAACCTGTTACATCTGCACTTAATTAATTTTTGCAGGTGATAAAAGATTTAAAGACAAAATATGTTAAAGGGTTTTTGAAGTGCAGAGCTTAATAGTCTAAATCTTGTTCGTATCTGCACTCATAATTAAATCTTATTGTGAAGTCATGGCCTTACCATCTAACACTTTTGTTCAGTTAAACATGCGTACTGGCTGTTGAAGAGAAGCAGAGAAAGGGGGAGTGTGGGAGAAGGAATGGCAAGTGTAAAATGAGTAGTAGAATAAGTACATGGGTAGGTTAGATATTCCTAGAATATTTTTCAAATATTTCTCAGTGTTCTACTATCACTTAGGAACATAATCATAAACCAGTATTTTTGAAAAATTCACTTCCATTCTGTGTTGTATGTGTTTGCTGTCTTGAATCTTACAGTTCATTGAATTTTGATGCTGTAAATGCTGGCCAAAAGTGAACATTATGCTTATTCTTGTTTTTTAATAATAAAAAACTATTCAAAGTTTCAATTTGTGAATGTTTTTAAGTCTTTCTGACTGTGTTACATTCACCTTGTTGGGAAAAGAATTCTCTTCCATTTCACCTACTCAGCCAATAAGCACTTTGGAATTCAGCTTCAATTTTGGAAGGCAAGGTTAAATGTGCAAATCATTACCTGTGCAAACGATTACCAGTGAAGCTGCCTATCCTTAACCAGGAAAATAATCAGAGAATGCTCAGCCTCTCTGACTCTGTCCCATTGGCCAGAAAAACTCAGCTGGTGAAAAGGGAGAAATATATGGCTGACACAGATTACTTAATTCCTGGAGCAGTTGCAGACCAGTCCCTAGTCTGCTCCACGGTCAGTGCAATGATGTACAAAAAGTCATATGGAAAATTTCCTATGTATGCAAACTATGGATAAATCATAATCCCAACTGAATGAATGAACAAGCTAATAGTGATGTTTTTATGTCCACCAACACAGAGTTTTGGGCGTCTGAAGGAAAGAATGGAATTTCAGATGTTAGACTTGAAATTAACCTTTAAGACTATATTTTGGTATGTCTAGCACAGCAGGACCCCATGCTGGTTGGCAGCTATACATGTTACTAGAACATAAATGTTAAAAAGTAATAGTCAATCCCACACATTAAACTGTACTCTAGTTACAAATGAAGTGTAGTCTTCATAGCTGCTACATGTGTTCATATAAAAAAGCTTAACATTTTAATTTTTAATCTTTCCTTCTTTTTTTTAATAATCTAAAATAAAAGAACTCTCTGTCAGCTTTTCTTTCATCACTCCACCATTTGAATAAATCTCCATTTTGAACTGACTTATATACCCTGAATAAATTTGATCTGGAAAGTGCAGAGTATATACACATTTCCTACACGGTAACATCCTCAGTCTTATACAACACATTCTTTTGTTTAACCAGAGACGTTACTGCTCTTTAGAACAGAGTAACCCTTAGTGGAATTAAACTTTAGACAAGAAACTTAGCTTTGAGATTTGAATAATAATTTAAAAAGAAAAATAAGAACTCTGTATGCCTATTTACTATTTTTACTTCTCACTGTTAGAGCAAGAATAGATCTAAAGACCCAAATATGCCTGGAAAAGAAAGACTAATTAGAAATCACAAAATGAAGGCTTATTATGGTTTTAGTCATAGTCTCTGCAGATGTATCTATATGGTCAACATCTCAGGTTGTTGTTGCAATCCTTATTCCAAGATCACCTATACTTGCATGTGTGTTAGCATGATCAGGGTCTGTTTTGGGGTAAACCAACTAATTCAATTGCAATTGAAGACTGGATGGGATTCTGGGGTTAGTCTGCATGCCATATTTTACTTCATTTGCCAGTCAGAGCCCTGTAACCCTATGCTGACTGCCTTCAGATCTCCAGCAGCCTCACACCAGTGTGTACCCCCTTGCACCTCTAACATGTGTTACATTCAGCCTTGACATTGTCACAGTTGGTCTGTAACCTCATCTTCATGTTGTTTCAAGTACTTAAAACTGAGAAATAGTAACCATTATAATATTACCCCACAGAGGTCTCAGAGGAGGCCCAAGTCAAGCACAATGCAATGCAACTAAGACTCAATCAACGTAGAGAGACCTGAACAATGTGGGTGAAAGTCATGGGTTACATCAGCTTGCAAAGAGCAAAAGCAATGGTCAGCGCTTGCTGAGGCATTGGCAGTGTATACCTTATCTTGAACCTTCCTTGAGTCCAGGCATCCTGAGGAAAATGCAACCATTGTTTCTCAGATACTAAATTTGGTTCAGACCTCATAGTGTTTGTAAAATACACAGAGTCTGGGTGATAATGTTACCATTCAGAGTACTTTGTCTGTCCTCCTTCTAAATTCCCTCTTTAAATCAGAAGTTTCAAAGGGATGGATTAAAGGCGGAGAATCAATAATATCAATAATTTTTCAGCTTCTTACAAATGTCAGTGGAGAAACTTACAAAAAAGAATAATTTTTCTTTTACTAAAAGGCAAGTAGATTTTCCATTTCCAATTGTAAAATTTCTTGTGTGTCTAACCACATAGTACAATAGTAGAGCTGTGAAAACAAAACTAAAAAAGAGGGAAAGTCCACATCATCAGTCTTTGTTATACAGATATACTGTCAGCATTTCTTTTCCAGTATTTTATTTAATGACAGAATTTCTTTTCACTGGCGTTATAAAATGTTTGAAATATGGAGACTGGCCAAGGTCACTCCTTGATTGTGGAAGGCACCATCCTATCTGCCAGATGATTTAATAGCTAATGAGATCATATTCCTATGTCTTCAACTGTTGCTGTCATGATTTTGCAAAAATGAAGTATGAAGTCCTTTCTGCATCTGGCATCTCTTTTGATGTGGATCTAACTGCTGAGGGACTGCTAACTGAACTGAATGTTTCAAGAAAGCCAATTTACTCAGCTGGTCGCAGAGCCTTTGACCTCAATAGTGGAACTTGGCAAATCAATGAATACACTTATGTTTAGTGTTCTGTCAAGAATTGTGGAAAAGCTCTGTAAACCATAGATCCTTCTGCAAAATACTAGTTTGTAGTTTAAACATTAGTCTTTCTTCAGAGGCCAATGAGGCTAGTTAATTAAGCCTGAGGGGTTATGAACTGTTGGCAGTTAATAAGTCATAAAATTCCTCCATAAAACAGGATGCTAGATTCCATCACTGAGTCAAGGAGTACAAAGAGCCGGTGTATAAATATCTAATTGTACAAAAGGACTGGGATTTCTCAATGACTGCTCATCTGGAGTCTCCAGGGCACGCTCGCTATGGTTTCCTGATTTTAGAAGCCAGTTTAAAAAATGAGTGCATTAAAGAGTAATTTGCCTGAAAGTTCAGGAAGTATGGGGTGGTGAAGGGAGGGGGAAAGGGAAAGACAAAAGGAGGGCAAGGGAGAGGGAGAGAAACAGAGACAGAGGGTGGGGGTGGTAAAAGAAAGCAGAACCGAGCTCTCTACACTGAGTTGGACATTATTACATTTGTCATCTGTTTTCTTTCTCCTTTAGGATGTTCACCATGGCAACGGTACACAGCAAGCTTTTTATGCTGACCCCAGCATCCTGTATGTTTCCCTCCATCGCTATGATGAAGGCAACTTCTTCCCTGGCAGTGGAGCCCCAAATGAGGTTAGGTTTATTTCTTTAGAGCCCCATTTTTATTTGTATCTTTCAGGTAATTGCATTGCATGATTACCCCTAATTTTCTTGTCCTTCTCTGGTTCTTTAAATTACACCAGATTACCAAATTGTCCACTGGGAGCAGGGGACCAGTGGAGAACAAGTGCATAACCCAGAGCAGTCTTTGTCAAACAAGGCTGGGCTGATCTGACATATTGTTTGATGTTTGTTCCTAAAGCAGACTGGAGATTTTTTTTCCTCTCATTTTTCCTCCTTCTTTTTCCTCCTCTTTACCCCTTTTGGCATTTTATTCCTATTTTTCAGGTTGGAAGTGGCCCTGGTGAAGGGTATAACATAAATATTGCTTGGACAGGTGGCTTGGATCCTCCTATGGGCGATGTTGAGTATCTCACAGCATTCAGGTTGGTTCTTTTTTGTTTTAAAGTTATGAAAGCTGGTTGTACAACATAAGAACATGAATAAGAGCTAATGTACCCTTGAAAGACAGGAGAATGACCCATGGTGAAACTGTCTTAATCCTGGTATCCCAGTATATGAAAGCTAAGTAAATAAAAAAAATAGATGATTTAATTGTTGTGATGATCCACTCAGGATCAACAGAAAAAAAAGTCTAATGATTTAATCGGTCACTCATTTTATCATTATTATACAAGCCAGTAAAATTACTTTGAGTTTTCTCATTTCTCTACCTACAAAACTGAAATTTAAGCATATATATAAATGCTATACCAGGCAGAGAAAAATTACTGTTCACATTCCTGTTGACTGCAGTTATATGCAAGTAGATAGAAAGTAATATAAGTGTGGTCTGAATCCAGTGTTCCTCATTCACTTAAATGTCTCATCTTGGTGCTCACAGATTTGACAAATTGGCTTTTTCTATGACTTTCAGTAAAGTGTTATTTACTTAAAAGTAAAGAATTGTGAAATGTCTCAGTAAGAATGATAGGAAGTGTTGCATGGTGTATTTCTCTTTGCTTTAAACAGCTCATTCTAAATGGAATTTTATTCTTTCATAGGTGATGCGTCATAATCTTTAGTCTCATTTTCATGGGACCAGAGGAGATAAAACCAGTTCTAAAGACACTCCTTTAGACTTTCAGTAGTCCTGTCTTACATACACCATTTCATTTCATTGTAAAGCAGTCCAGTGGAAGGGATTAGTGGGCACTCACCTCCCAAGACTGGGCAAATGCTATGTATTAGAAAAGAAGTTTCATTTAGTGGAAACTGATATACAAGGAAGGCAATGAGATAACTAACATGTATCTCTAATCACTTTGAAGACTTCTAGTTTGAAGTAGTGCGTTTACATTGTGTATCTTTTGACTGTATTTTATTGAAAATACATCACAAAAAGTATAGGAGTCATTTTTGTTTGCTTGGGGTTTTTTTCTGAAGAACTCCCAGGCAGACCATGAAGCAATATGCAGAGGATCTGATGACAACACACCTGAATTCAGAGTCTAATCCCTAGACACAGAAATAGCCTTACACACTCACAATATCACACTGTTAGTGTGGAAAATGTTTTAATTTTATTTACAATATTTGCATGTGTTTAAAAAGAGTCTAAGCAAATAGTCAGTGGCAGGCTCCAAATTTTCTACACCTCAGTATTACCTCAAGCTTTTTCCAGGATGTGTCTTATTCTTTGTTGAAATTTTACAGAAGTTACAAGATTGGATGGTTCAAATCACTAGTATTAGTGTCTGATATTAATACATCTGGTATGATCAACCCAAAATCTTTGATTTGGATCTAAACTGTCCCAGTAATGATATAGGTAATATGGCCATCTAATACTGTGCAGAATGGTGGTCCCATCTTATTGAACAGAAGACCCACCTAAGTGAGGCTGCAGCCATAACTGATACCCCTGCTATCCTGACAACAAATGCCTGGGCTTAATAATACCTTTTTGAATATGTATCTTGCAGTTCCAGTTTAAGATGCACTAGTAAATAGTTTGGAGCAGCTCATATTGCTACTGTGCCTATTATTTTGCTTCAGAGTTAGAGGGAATTTAAATATCTGCCACTGAGAAAGGCATCACTGTTCCAGAAAATAAAATTCATGTAAGCTACCACAGATCAACTAATCATTTGCAGACATATCACTAAAGTAAATGCTTAATTACTTCCTTTTTTATTTTTAATGCAGGTAATATAAAAGTAATTAATTTGAAGGTTATACATTGTTTTAAATAGTTAATTTTTTTTTTTTTTTTTTAAGAACTATAATGCTATTGACTGATTACAATAGATACTTCTGTCTTCCTGTTCTCCAAAAGAATAGCAATAACAGAAAACATTTGCCTAGACCGTAAGCTCCTTTTTGCCTGGGCACAGTCTTTGTGCCCTGTGTAGGATTTATGGATATGGATTTAGTATGACAAGTATGACCCTTCTGAGTGGAGATCAATGAAGCAAACAGCATGGAACTTTGAAGGGTCAATACAAAATCTGTAGATTATGTAGCTTAGACCACATAGCTATTTTCTATGGATCTGGCCTGTATGGTAGATAAATTCACAGCTAGTAAAGAAACACTATTGGTGGGCCAGAATCTATCCCTGTTATTGTCCAAAATGTGAAACATGATGTAGCCTGCATTCTCATTTTGGCCAGGACAGAATTGTGAGACAGCAGTCAGGAAGGAGGGATATGCTTTTCAGTCCTTTAGCCATAGATAAAAAGGAAGGTACAGTCTTAGAGAAAATCATTAGAAGAATTGCTAAAAAACCCCAGCAAGTTGGCAGTTGTTCTAGAGTTTTTACCTGCAATAGGTCAGTTTTTAAGAAAATAAACAGTGAGTTCTGCAGATAGGAAAATTAGCTTGATTTCCCCCTCCCCCCTAAATAAATTGGTTTTAGGGACAGAGTTACAGAGAATATCCTTACTAAGAGTGGGGGAAAATGTTGGATATCCTCAATTTTAACAGTAAAATAAGGGACAAAATAGAGAGATTTTCTTTTCATACCTAATCCTCAGTAGAGAGAGGTCATGCAGTACTCGATCCCTCGTGAAGGCAGCTGAGGGTGTTGGTGAAGGACCTCTTCAAAAGAACCATGGTGTGAATAAGTCTGCAGACAGGTGGAGCCTGTTTGGAGAGAAGTCAAGGCTTCCTGCTTTCTGGCTGCCTTCGGAGCCTAAACCTTTGAGTTCTTAGGAACTGAGAAATTTGCGTTAAAATCATCTAAAGCTCCCTAGGGGGTACACATAACTTTCACTTTCTCACAGGCAGAGCCCTAGTTTCTTCCTAGAGTTGCACCAAGCACATAGCTGAGTGTCAGTAGCCATGACACTAGCTCGTTACTGCTTGATTGACTGTCAGATTTCACAGCAAAGATCTTTCTGAATGCTAAAGTCCACAGGAATGGAGACCAAGGCTTTTTTCTGTCTCTAGACTTTTGCCCATAATCGGGTACTACACAAAATGATGTATTTGATATCAGGTATATTGTTCTTAGGCCAGAATCTATTTGTAGAACAGTATAAGCATTTACACACACACAAATATATGCATGCAGGTAGCTAAATATTAGATATTTTCCACTGCATAAATCACTAGATAAATCTATTTTAAGTAAATCTTGGGACTGTATGACATTGCATATCACTCTTTCTCCAAACTGTCAAAGAAAATATTTGTATTTCCTCAGGAAAAAGCAACTAACATGCATAAAAATGCACAAAATTTGAAGATGAGTTAGAGGCATAACACTGAATAATCACTTCAATGACATGCTAAGTGAGTGGCTCCAGTGGGACTCTAGTGGGAAACAGGAAAAAGTCTGGGGTTGGTTTGTGTCCGCCATTTTGATTTCAGTGATACAGGAAGAGTCTTTATTGTATTTTGAAACAAACTATTTCTAGTGCAAAATCAAATATGAATGGCCACAATCAGTTTGAAGATGGAGACTGCTCTTTATATAGAAACATATGTTTTCCTTTCCATTTCTTTCCCATTTGTTTGAAGAACTGTATGCTCATGTTAACTACAAGGAAGTAGTAGAAAATGTATGAGAGAGAAGTTTCTGTAGAATGGGAAAGTGCAGTTATCAAATCTCTATAGCTTGTAATTTTGCCAGAAAATTTTAGTTTGATGTTTACAGTAGTTAAGCAACTGGTCTAGCTACAAAAATCTTTGAAAGAATGTCCTTTTTAGGAGGACAGACATCTCTCCTTTTCCCCTGTGACAATAAAAAGGCACAGCTCTTTTCCATCTTCAGGGCCTGATGTATCTTTCCCTCTAGAGAGTTTTGTTTCATCATTTGCTTCCACCTATTCAGCTTAAATTTGCTTTAATCTCTTTCAAAGCAACAGAAGATGGTGGCTATTTTCTAAGAGGATAATTCTACACTGCAGTTTATGAGGATATAATCCACTCTCTTCTGCCAAAGGTTATAGAAAAAATAAGAGCAGTGGTCGGCTACTAATGTTCAAATAATTATTTTCATAAGCTTCACATTATACCAGATGTGCTCAGTAAAGGAGGCAGCAGACAGAGGCTCAGGTCTGTGTTGTACATGCACACATGTATATGCATGTACTTGGAGTTTACAGAGGACAGGAGGGATATGTTTCTGTAGAGCAGACTATAGAAGATGCAGGAGGCAGTGGAAACAAATGTGAGTGCTCCGAAGAAGGAGAGAGAAGCAAGAGACAGAAGGAAACTGGGGTGTGCCTCCCAACCGATTTGCAGTGCTTTTATTCAACAACGGAGCTGTAAATTTAGCTTAACCAGCCAGTATGCTCTGCCTGCTTTGCTCTACTCCAGGGTAGCATAAAACAGGCACAGCATATCAATGAACTTGGCCATAAAAGTTACATAAAGTGTGTGTGTGTTTCTTGGAATGATTGGAAATAGCTCGTGATAATATTATCTTTGATTTCAATTTTTAGCAGCCACATGTATGATTTTAATTTAAGGAGGTGAGCAAATTCAAAAGACATTGGTGAAATTAAGGCAGAGTTAAGGATGAAATATATCCATGATTTAATTAAAATACAGCACAAAATTTATAAATACCCCCAAATAATAATTTTAAACAATGAGAATTCAAAATCAAAATCATACTTGAAGCCACATATGTTAAAGGGCAAAAATGAAAGAAAATGAAGGTGTGCAGAAAATCTTCATTGTGATTTAACATTGCCAGTATTTGTTTTGAGAGAAAATAAATATGTTTTATACTCTATGTATTCTAATCTCTGATCAAAGTAATTAAGAAATATTCATTGTAGTCTTATGGCCTTACAGGGCTTGGTTAAGGTTATCTGAGAGATTGTGTTGATGTATACCAACCCTTTTATTTTTGTCTTATTTTTCTATTTCCTGATGTGGTGATATTTAATTTTGATATTTCACATGTTAAAATTTGTAAATGTATTTTTGT